ATCATCATATGAGTATCATAATATTTCCCGTTTATATGAAACTTAAAACGTGTTTATTACAACCTAAATAACACGATTTCCTTGTACATAACAAAATAAATAGTGCCATTGACTTGAATTATATGTTAAAATTTGATTAATTGATGGTAATAATATGTAGGTAGGTACGAAACTTATGCAGTGAAGTAACCAGGAGAGTTTTGGGTGTTTAAGCCCCTCCCAATGCCTTCCCTTCTTAATAAATGTATTACTTGTGTACAACAACTGCAAGAAAACTTCTGCTTAACCCTTTGCCCCCTTTCATAATACGTCACTGAACTTATGTGTACAATGTACATGTTTTCATTTATTTAAAAAAAATAATGTTAAACAATGTTTAAATATATAATATTAGATAGGTATTAGATAGGACCTTCTTTTATTATTATTCAAGTATTCAACACTCAACAGAATTCTGTTTGAATCAACAAACGATTATTACTTTTTTTGCATCAGACGTTTGCATCGCGCGATTACATAATAGGAATTTTGTACATTTCGTAAATACTTATTATAGTGTTGTATAATATCTTCCTAACAAACTGTAATTGTTTGACCGGGCCTGGTCTACGGTAGTATCGCGTAAGGGACTATGGGAACAAGTCCATCAGTTTGCAAGTATCTATGTAACATATCTATATATACCACCTAATGGCTATTTAAAATTTTTAGTTTATGAATTTCACACAAATATATAATGTTTCAGTACAATATATTTGCTCTAAAACAGGTATCATATTATAAAAGAATTTTAAAAGTTAAATCGGAGAAAAATCATCTTTAGTCGTCGATATTATTTAACTGTAGGTACCTGTACAGCTATCCAGGCAGCGTTTACATATATTTTTAACTAGCATGTTAGTAGGCATACATAATAATAGTTATTACGCTTTACGATCATTTTTAGTGGAAATTTGAGAGCATAATATTCGATAGGTAAGTATATTATACATGAATCATATTGTATTTTAAGATGTCTTTAAAATGGTCTGCTGCGGGGACTCGTTCTTTCGGTCATTTCTCGCCATCTCCTCTCTTTTACTAACACCCTAAATTCCTACTTGTTTTTTGTAAATTGTATGTACTAGATACGCTTAATGTCGTTTAATACACACGCCACTGTACCTACAATATTTCAATAAATGGTAATGGGGAAAAAACATGAAATTCTCAAGGCCGCCGGGTATTGATGATAAATTAATATACCTACCTACGGATATTATATCTTCCTGGCCACCTATAACCAATGATAAATCCATTTCCTACCAAACCGAGTCATGGTTCCGAATCTTCCGAGTCTGACATATTACTTCTATATAGGTACTAATTGATTATGGATCATTGATGAATAACCAAATACTTGTTGTTTCAATAACCAAACACCCGGCTACACCAACTAATAAATTACCATTATTTTTCGTTTTGTATATAGCAAGGGTAATAGGTTTAAGGCCATTTACAAAATAATATTGCGTATATCTAGACAAAATATATTAACTATTAAGTTAATTGATCGCTGACGGATTTTTTTTTTTATTTACATTACAATCGGTTTTGCTGTATTCCACACCACATGTGCATATATGTATATAAATGTATTTTACAAGTTTCTTATAGGTATAATATAGATTCACCTGCCACGGGGACCCTAAAATGATGAAGGGCTGTAATATGATGTATTGATGTGTGTCGCAAGAATCAATACTAGTCGACCTTACATCCAAATATAATAACAAAAAAAATTTAAAAAAAAAAACTGTTCACCAATTTGCAGTTTAAAAGATGACCGTGACATACACTATTTGATTAAAATCCGCACACAATAATACGAGGAACACAAGTGAAAAATACTTCTGTGATGGATGTTAAGACTTATGTACAAAAAAATTATGTCCTCGTAAATTATGCGGAAGTACCTACATATTATTTTCAAGTGGCGTGTAAAATTTTTGAGACAAACAAAACTTAAGAACGAAACATGTAATATATACCTACTATTTACATTAAATGCAATAATCTAGCCAGTTCAATAAAATAGCCAAAGACAATAATATGTTCAGCATGTTGCCCATAATAATATAATAATTAATGGCTATAGAAATTGTAATTTATCAAAAAATAGGTAGAAATAGATACCAGCTATTTTGTGCATCCATAGTACGGAAGGATATGTTTTTCCTATTTCTTTTAAATTTTGACTGCTACATTTAGAAACTAAAATAGGTACGTATTTAAAATCTTTTCGTAATAAAAATATAATTAAACAAATTAAACATCCCCAAATTAAACAGTTTAATTAATATTAAATAATTTGTATAAAGCTTTAAAAATCACGATACAGTTATTAATAATTATTATAACGTTATCGACGTAATATAATGTAATTCTTATAGTTATATGAGTGAATTTTATTTTATTTGCTTACTGAGTACCTACTGAGAATGAACAACTATACTCTATAGTTCTATAGTTAAATAAATCTTGTTCTCCCCCTAAAATTAAAATTAAATTGTATAACTTATTTTTTCTATAAATAAATACATCATTTCAAATTGTATCAGTTTAAAATTATTAAATATAACAATCCAGGGTAACTACATTAATGATTAAAAGTTTTTTAAAACACTTGCGCAATGACAAAATGTCAACAGGATTACCTAACTTCCAAGAGTTTAATCCTTCCCAGGTCCAATGAGGTACCTATAGTCAGTCACTAGCCTGATATTTACAGGGCAAGGCAAATAACCTACAACATTATATAAGATGATTTAAATGTTTTAATGCAACTTCTGAGAAAAAACTGGTGTAAGCAGAAGCCTGTTACAGGTACATACTACATACTATAACCATTAAACCATCCATTAATGAAACAGACCAAATTAAAAACACGAACATATTAAACTAAAGAAGTAGAGCTGTTTATTGAAATAGATATTTTTATTAACACCAGATATTATTATAATTTATGTATCTTTTAAGTGAAAATAATACAAAATAAATTAAGTTTAAAGTTTTTTTTTTATATTTATTAATTTAATTGTGTCAATACACCAGGTATTTTTACAATATTAAGTACAATTTACGATTTACGATTAATATGATTACAATATTATGTGTACAAAGATTTACATCATTACAATGATTTATTTATTTTTTTAATTTTAGTTAGCTTATAAATTTAAGTCAGAATCTGAAAATGTAGTGTCTTCTTTGGGTTCTAGTATGCAAGTTTAAAGTTTAAACAACATAAAATAAGACGTTGTTTCTACAAATTTTATCAATAGTTTATATCAAATAATTATACCTTAATAATCTAGGAAATCTTAGAAATAAAAAGCAAGCATGTTGAAACTATATAACTCGTCCGCATTCGGCTCATTCGGTTACGAAAAAATAACACATTAAAATAATACTATTTTGTATAAATTAAAAACAATTTGATGTCTTTATGACCTCAATTAAATATTTAATAAATGAGAATAATTGAAATACTTTAGACTACAGATAGGCACCTACCAATAAGTTATTAGTAACAACTTAATACTTATTATGAAAAATACATTATACAGGTTACTTATGTATTTTTAATATTTTTATAACTTTTAATAACAATCAACATTTGGATAAAAGAACCAAAAACATAGCATATCTAGATAAAATGTAGGTAACACCTAAATTACTTCATAAATACTACACAAAAGACTCACAGTGTAATAAAATAGTACAAACTAGTAGTTAGTAACACTATACCGACCCATCTGTAATAATTTGAACTAAAAATGTAATTATATTACCAAGAAATAGATATAACTAATATATCTATTGAATATCTGACCATTTCCTATGACATCTTTGACACGATATTTGTGTCGAGTTTATTTATGTTTTACTGACGTACTGACGTAGGTAATATTATTGTAGAACCTACGTGTACCTACTTTTAAATACTGTTCTCACTTCTTAAAAACATTTGTGTACGATTATATATCATGAAAAAACAAATGAAAGAAAGCTGATGATAATAATATGTTTTATACCATAGGCAGATAGGGTTATTGGCTATTGCAATTTAAATATAATAGCCATTCGGCTATCATAGTGTACAGATAGGTCAATTACCTATAAACTATCACACTTGCACATAGTTGTAGAAAATCGTGTATTGAGAGTTAAGAAGGAAAAAAAATGACGAAGGACGTGTTGCGTGCGCACACATGGACAGCTTATATGGTTATTAATAAAACTGGGCCACACTATCAATTGTTACGAAATTCATTCGTTTTCCTTTTAAAACGACTTATTAAATACAATGTTCGAATAGCTTAAAATATTACCAAAATATGGACTTTTTAATACATATTATGATTATAATAAATCCAACAACAATATAACTAATTGTAACAAATAACAAATTTACTATTTGATCCGGATGTTGTAATTACATAACAGTTACTAAATGCACGTGTATTTTCAATATTTTATTTTATGTAATACCACTACACCTGCCATATTATGTAGTTTGATGATTACCTATCTAAAATTATATTATATTTGAAAATGATTGAAAACATTTATTTACCCACAAAAGGATTTTTGAAGTGATTATAGGTACCTGGGTAGATACTTACCAAAACAATGGAAATACTAAACAGGTACATACCTATATATTATTTAACAATGAACATTTAATACAATATAGAGTATAGGTATAACAAACTTATATTCTATAATACGTAGAGGCTTTAAATTAATATAATATCATATTATAATATAAAGTTGTATGATTAAATTAAAATGAAATAGTGATAATATTATATAAACATCCACAGAATAATATATAGGTAACATTTTATTAGATGTTTATAAACGGACCTACGTATCTAAAATAAAAAGTGATTGATCAATTGGAGCCTGGAGGTACTTATCTATTTATATACTCAAAAAATTATAATTTGACTTACTTGATAAGTTATAGGTACGATAATCCTTTTGAAAATCCAATCATGTGTGTACTAGAAGATCCGACCTGGTACTGAACGATCAGTACCAGACTATAACATACGAGGTCTCGTTAACATTGTTGATGTCACAGTCACACGGGGTTATACCTACTAGTTTGTGGCCATCGACCATCAGCCTCGATAATATTATAACGTAGGTACCACTCGTTTTATTAGGTAGGCGCACTCGAACCATTCACACTATTCTACGACAGCAGCAGGAAGCCCCTCCATTTTTTTATTTTTTTGTTTTGTTTCTGCAACACGCTGAACACGGTATAATATATTTTAAGTGCACGAAAATACAATATTTAGAATGTAGCAGATAAAGATACCGATATTATATTGTATATACGCTGCAGCTGTATAATAATTATATAACAACACGTAAAAATGTAGCTGGTATATACCTAACATAATATCATTTTATAAACATACGATTTATGTGTATTATTATTCCTACTCGTAGTATACCTATACCCAATAAATGGCGAGGTACCTTCATTGGCATAATATATTATTTTATTATTGTATCCACATTCTACATTAAATATAAAAATTAATTTATGAGATGAGCATGCTTTTTCTTAAGACACATATTTTGCAGTCGCAATGAAGTACTTAATAAGTCATTACTGTGGTCTGTTACACATATAGGTACGTTTTTATAGTTAGTACTGGCTAGCACATACTGACATAGTGGCGTGCATAATGGCCATAACGTTTTTAAAAAAATAAACAATTTACATATTTTAATGTCACAATTTTACGATCGTGATATCATTGAATTAAATCTATACAGTAATAATTATCTAATATTATTATTATTATATAAAGTATAAGAAGTATCAAGTAACTGGGGTAAATATAATTATCGATGCTCATTTCCATACAAACAAACGCATTTAAATATATTACATAACGTTCAGTAGGTACAATATTGTTTCCAAATTTCTATTTCCAACGAAACAAAATGTTGTACATTTTTTATTGGAATCGGCCTTGAACAAAATGCACTCCAGTGTTCCCCGGACATTTAAGACATTTTTTCAATGATAAAATTTATTTTTTATGGTGCAGATACCTATCAAAATAAAACAGTGTTTGAGATGCGATGCAGCATGGAAACAATTAAAAAACCTCCATCATTAATTACCGAATTGTATTAATTAAAGTTAAAGGCACTACAGTTAAATTATCTACAAGAATATAATATGATGTATCAAAATATTAATTATTTTTCGCAAATATTATTGAATTCACAGTTCATATTTTATAATAGGTATAACTAGTATAACATGTACATTATGTCTCAATTTTACTGCTAATTATAGTTAATCACCTAAATTTGCGGTTACAGCTATTAATAGGTATACATATCACCATCTCTATACGTTTTGGGCTTACAACTATATTCTATTACAATATGATTATATATCTAAAATGACATAGGCACATAGCTGTACTGAATATTTCAATTAAATAAAAATGTATAGTGTGATTAGCCATTTTTAAACACCTCTTCAAGTAGAGACCTACACGATTTATATAATTATTATAAGTGCAAGTTATAAATAGTTATAAATATTGAAATAAAAGGTTCTTGAGGATCATCTCTTCATAAGCCCGGCATTTGCATCACGCCCCCCTGAATTGATATATATTTTTATACACATAATAATAGATTGGAAATACGTTTTTTGATCTTACCCGATGTATATGATCATCTATCGACTACCATCTTTCACGTTATGGATTTATTACTCAATTTAAAGGGTTGATAAACCAAAGTTATGCAAGAGTATTATTGAATTATATTTATTTGTTAATTTAACATTTTGTATAATTATTTAAAGAAAAATCTCTTAACAGTACATTTATTTATTTGTAATTTGTATATTGTTTAATATATATATAATTAATTTTGTATTGGCAATAGTGTTATTATAACGTATTATTGAATTATATTAATATATTAATATTTATTTATTTAATTATATTATTAATTGAATCATTTGTAAATTTATTGATTTGAGTTGCATATTATTGTTTAATATGTTTAATTTAAACTTTTTGTCCGGGGGGAATTGTCCCATTTTGTAGGTAGGGATACGTCCAATGCATGAGGGGAAAGGCACGGAGGGAAACGTCCTAGATTCCATCACCCCACTATTTGACCACCACTGCTTCGTCTAACGAACGCCATAACATGGCAATTTTTAAGTGAAGAAGAATCTGTTTTAATCGGTTATTTTTAGTATTAAGTGTGAATTCACCTATTATCCAATTTAAAGGAGATAATTTAATCCATGGCACCTTAGTGCTAAAAAATATTTTTGATATTTTATTTTGAAGTAAGTCATGAGCTTTGAACAACTAACAAAAATTTACAACTTTTAATAACTCTGAACTTGGCTTAAAATAAAAATAAAAATGAACTTCCAAATGCTATAGATAATATTTTTGGCTTTAAATTGTATGATAATTTATCAATTTAACTACTTTGGTATTAAAAATAACAAATTCTTCTTCATTTAAAATTTGTTATATTACGAGACGGAAACAATTTAATTTTAATATGCGGATGTAACGTTCTCTTAACTAAAGTCTACTGCGCAATAGGCATCATTTGATTATGTGGGCGAGTTGTCACGAGAGTCAGGGTGTAATGATAAGTTTATATTTAAAAAAAAAACCGACAACTAATGTAAAAAAATTAACAATAATATTTAATTGGTTATGCGTTATAATAATGATCGGTATAAGGGATATAAAAGTCAGAGTTTTTTTTTAAGATAGTTACTAATGATTAGAAAAATATTGCCACGAAAGTACGAAAACTATATAAATGTAAAAAATAAATTTTATTTTTATACAAACATTTTATAAAATGATATTAATTTTTTCATTTTACTTTATTTTTCGTTTAATGATATTCTATTTTATTTTGCAGTATTTTATTTGCTTAAAAGACATTACATAAATAAAACTATAATAAAGATATAAACTTTATAGCTGATTAAAACAATTTTTACAATTTATGGCTTATGCGAAACTATAATTCTTATAAAAACTAGGTTTGCATACAGCCATAGGTATAGGTAGACATATTATGCAAATTAAGTGACAACAAGGCTACAGTAAACCTAAATAAGTAGGTATACGTATATAGTTATTGATGACAGAGCCGTCCTTAGATGTGGGCGTGCTGAACTCAGACTTCAGCTGAGCCCTGCTGCGTCTCGTACTCTTGTGCAGTTGTGTTTGAAAATAAAACAATAGGAAAATTGGTCACAAAACTTATATTATTATTAATTTCATAGCATTAAACGTTATGTTTCATAGAGAAATAAAGTAGAAATATGCGATATGCCAATACCGTCTACGATAGCTATTAGATATATAGCCATATATAGGTATTTAATATTAATAGGTATACTTACCTACCTACTTAGTAGTTACTAGTTAGTATATAATAAGTAAAATATAATTATATTGGTCAAGCATAATATGGATGAACAGAACCAATTGGTACAGTATAAGATATAAATATATAAGAATAAGACTTTCAGAAAACCCCATAGATCGTATTTCTTTTTTTGTCTTAATTTGCTTCTTGGGTTCATAACTTTAGTTAAAAATTAAGTTTTCTTATCAGATGCTATGCATTTTTTTTTGGTGATTCAGACTACACTATTTTTTTTTTGTTCTGCTGAAAGATGGACAATTATTCTGAAGTTCGTTAATTTTGAATAAATCATTATGAATAGTAAAAAAAAGTAGGTAGGTATGTTAAAGGCACTCATAAATATAAATATTTATATTATCTTGGTTTCCGTACTTATTTTCACATCACCCAAGCCTTGCAAATCCTATGAAAATCCCAGTTGAATGGTGTACGTGTAGGGGCGTCATGCGTTTGGGCGAATAAGGTACCTTTTTATTTTCATAATACAAGTAATATGTTTCTTATGATGGATTAATCAATTTAAAAGATAAAAGATACAATTTTAATAAGTATATGTCACTCGAGATTAAAGTTTTAAAGTGCATAAAACGTATGGGGCTAATTTTTCAGGAAAACAATTTAAAAAACAAAAAACAAATATATTTTTTTAATTTTAATCACATTCAAAAATATCACCTAAACACATTGCAATTTTTAACAATTCACCCAAATGTAAATCACCTGAAGTGCAGTAACTAGTAAGCATACAATATATATATATCTACGTAATTCTAATATTCAGCAGCACAAACTACAAAAGCTACACAACTACACAAGTACAAACGAGTTGTTTCCACGTTCCACCGATATGTATGGTTTTGATATCCATAATGTAACTTGTAAGTATGCCGGTACATGTACGAGTACGATTATATGATGTACCAATTAAGAGGACTCCACACCAGCATTTGTTGACTCCGTCTCACAAACGCGTAGGTAACAATATGGCAAATTGCATGTAAGTACGTTCTGAATAATCGATTTAACTCTGTTATGATTAATATTGGAGTGAATTGATCTATAATCAAATTTAGAAGAATAATATCTAGAGAACCTCGTTGGTTATTTTAAAATTAAACTATACATATAAAAAAAATCCCCTCTGAAAAATCCTTGCTACGCGCCTGACTACTACTTGTATAGATAAATTTAACACCTAGCAGTCTGTAGAACAGTAGCGTAACTGGATAAACAACTAGGAGGGGCAAAATAATTAATGTACCAAAATCAAAACCATACACTAATTGTTTGCTTTTGCACGATTTTTAAAACTCATTTTCTGACTTACAGACAAATTGTAATTCGTTGGTACACACGACAAATTGTTAAATAATATTAAATACAATGTACATAGTATGAGTTTCACAAAAAAAGCGCTCTAACTTGTTTGAAAAAAAACTAAGTAATATGATAATCCTGTAGGTAATTATAATTCATGAAATAATATTACTGGATTATTTTTGTAACCCAGATAACACATATTATTATGCAACAGGAGAAACGTGAATAAAATGTACTTCATCTTTATACAATAATTTGATGAAAAAATATTTGTATCTTACAAATGTGTATTAAATACTTAAATGTGTATTTATTTTTTATTTTAGAAGTTTTAAATACTTCTATGATTGGCATA